ACTGTAGAGTTGAGACTGTAGAGTTGAGACTGTAGAGTTGAGACTGTAGAGTTGAGACTGTAGAGTAGAGACTGTAGAGTAGAGACTGTAGAGTAGAGACTGTAGAGTAAAGACTGTAGAGTTGAGACTGTAGAGTAGAGACTGTAGAGTAAAGACTGTAGAGTTGAGACTGTAGAGTAAAGACTGTAGAGTTGAGACTGTAGAGTTGAGACTGTAGAGTTGAGACTGTAGAGTAGAGACTGTAGAGTAGAGACTGTAGAGTAGAGACTGTAGAGTAAAGACTGTAGAGTTGAGACTGTAGAGTAGAGACTGTAGAGTAAAGACTGTAGAGTAAAGACTGTAGAGTTGAGACTGTAGAGTTGAGACTGTAGAGTTGTGACTGTAGAGTTATGACTGTAGAGTTGAGACTGTAGAGTTGAGACTGTAGAGTTGAGACTGTAGAGTAGAGACTGTAGAGTTGAGACTGTAGAGTTGAGACTGTAGAGTTGAGACTGTAGAGTTGAGACTGTAGAGTTGAGACTGTAGAGTAGAGACTGTAGAGTTGAGACTGTAGAGTTGAGACTGTAGAGTTGAGGCTGTAGAGTTGAGACTGTAGAGTTATGACTGTAGAGTTGTGACTGTAGAGTTGAGACTGTAGAGTTGAGACTGTAGAGTTGAGACTGTAGAGTTGTGACTGTAGAGTTGAGACTGTAGAGTTGAGACTGTAGAGTTGAGACTGTAGAGTTGTGACTGTAGAGTTGAGACTGTAGAGTTGTGACTGTAGAGTTGAGACTGTAGAGTAGATACTGTAGAGTTGAGACTGTAGAGTAGAGACTGTAGAGTTGAGACTGTAGAGTAGAGACTGTAGAGTTGAGACTGTAGAGTTGAGACTGTAGAGTTGAGACTGTAGAGTTGAGACTGTAGAGTTGAGACTGTAGAGTTGTTGGTCGGACAGCTCTGGTCTCTGGGGCCGCGGCCTGTGGCTGTGTTTACGCGAATGAACATTTTATCTGCGCTCTAATGGGTGTGAGAGCTGCGCCCATCAGGGAGGAGGGGGAGGGGGGAGGAGGGGGAGGAGGGAGGGGAGGGGGGGGGGGGGGGGGGGAGGGGGGGAGGGGGAGGGACCAGGGATGCCCAGTCTGTTCTCAAAGATCAATACTCTTGCCTCTTTCTGAGCTCGTTTCATGGATTTGAACAGAATGTAAAAAATACAGCTTCACTTAAATACATGGTCCAGTACCAGCAGCAGCAGCACCAGCAGCAGCACCAGCACCAGCAGCAGTAGTAACTTGCAGGTGCGTTCTCACTATGTCCTCGGCGTGTCCTGACCGTGTCCTCCCAGGTCCTCGCCGTGTCCTCGCAGGTGGACCCACTCAGATGTTAATCGTGAGATCGATAGCAAACATTTTTAATTGAGATTTATGGAGAGGTCCATCAGCTAAAAGGGTTTCTCCATAACTGAGGCTGCGGTGAGCTCAGGAAACAAGGCTTTTATGGTCTCCAGGAACCAGAGACCAGAGCGAGACCAGAGTGACCAGAGAGAGACCAGAGAGAGAACGGAAACCAGAGAGAGGCCGGTGACCAGAGAGAGACAGGAGACTAGAAATAGACCAGAGACCAAAGACCAGACAGACCTCAAAGAGAGACCAGAGAGTGATTCCAATTTCATTTTAAAGCAGTATTGAACAAATAAGTCCAAAACACTAGAACACAGTTCTCTTCCACCTGCCCCTCTGTATCTGGACAGAGATGAGTTTCTCTTCTGTCTGTGTTTCTGTAACTTCAGAATTCCTGTTTTTCTGGCGCACATTCCTCAGATTCTGCACTGAAAGCATTTGTGACATATTTACTCAGAGAAACACAACAACAGAAACACACACAAATCCTCTCCAAAGCTCCTCTCTCAGTCTTTATGTGACATCAATCTCTGATCTCTCTCTGGTCTCTTTCTGGTCTCCTTCTCTCTCTCTCTGATCTCTCTCTGGTCTCCTTCTCTATCTCTCTAGTATCTCTCTGGTCTCCTTCTCTCTCTCTCCGGTCTCTCTCTGGTCTCTTTCTGGTCTCTCTCTGGTCTCCTTCAGGTCTCCTTCTCTCTCTCTCTAGTATCTCTCTGGTCTCCTTCTCTCTCTCTCTGGTCTCTCTCTGGTCTCCTTCTCTGGTCTCTCTAGTATCTCTCTGGTCTCCTTCTCTCTCTCTCTGGTCTCTCTCTGGTCTCTCTCTGGTCTCTCTCTGGTCTCTCTCTGGTCTCTCTCTGATCTCTCTCTGGTCTCCTTCAGGTCTCTTCTCTCTCTCTCTGGTCTCTCTCTGGTCTCCTTCTCTCTCTCTCTGGTCTCTCTCTGGTCTCCTTCTCTCTCTCTCTGGTCTCTCTCTGGTCTCCTTCTCTCTCTCTCTGGTCTCTCTCTGGTCTCCTTCTCTGGTCTCTCTCTGGTCTCCTTCTCTCTCTCTCTAGTATCTCTCTGGTCTCTTTCTAATCTCTGTCTGGTCTCTCTCTGGCCTCTCTCTTTCAGATGTCTCTCTAGTCTCTTTCTGGTCGGTCTCTCTCTCTCTCTCTGGTCTCTCTCTCTCTGGTCTTTCTCTCTCTCTGGTCCCTCTCAGGTCTCTCTCTCTCTGGTCTCTCTCTCTCTGGTCATTCTCTCTCTCTGATCTCTCTCTCTGGTCTTTTTCTCTCTCTGGTCCCTCTCAGGTCTCTCTCTCTGGTCTTTCTCTCGTCCTGGGTTCTCGCGCTGTGACTTTAGAAGACTTATTTTGAAAATTGTTTTGACTCTTTTATTTTGACTCCTTCCTGTCCTGCGATGAGGGAGAAGAGCCTTTAGCTCTGAGGTCCTGTTCTTCTTACATTGGGGGTGGAGTGGTCCTAAAGCCGCGCTCTCTTTTATTATGGTGTAATTACAGCGTTTGGGACGCACAGCTGCATTCTCCACAGAAAGATTACAGAGTCTTAGACCAGCACTTTCACAGAACACTTTAAAGTCGACAAATGTGCTTCTCTCTGGTCTCTCTTTCTGCTCTCTCCCTGGTCTCGCTCTTTTCTCTCCCTTTAGTCCCTCTCTGGTATCACTCTCTGATCTCTCTTAAGTCTCTCTCTCTGGTCTCTCTTGTCTCCCTGGTCTCCTTCTGGTCTCCTTCTGGTCTCTCTCTGGTCTCTCTCTCTCTGATCTCCCTCTGGTCCCTCTCTGGTTTCTCTTTCTGGTCTCCCTCTGATCTCTCCCTGGTCCCTCTCTGGTATCCTTCTGGTCTCTCTCTTCGGTCTCTCTCTGGTCTCTCTCCCTGGTTTCCCTCCGGTCTCCCTATGGTCTCTCTCTCTAGTGTCTCCCTCTGATCTCCCTCTGGTCCCTCTCTGGTCTCCCTCTGGTCCCTCTCTGGTCTCCCTCTGGTCTCTCTCTGGTCTCTCTCTTCGGTCTCTCTCTGGTCTCCCTCTTCGGTCTCTCTCTGGTCTCTCTCTTCGGTCTCTCTCTGGTCTCTCTCTTCGGTCTCTCTCTGGTCTCTCTCTGGTCTCTCTCTAGTCTCTCTCTTCGGTCTCTCTCTGGTCTCTCTCGTCGGTCTCTCTCTGGTCTCTCTCTTCGGTCTCTCTCTGGTCTCTTTCTCTCTGGTCCCTCGCCCTGGTCTTCGTCTGGGCTCTCTCTCATATCACTCTCTAGTCTCTCTCCCTGGTTTCCTTCTGGTCTCTCTATGGTCTCTCTCTTCGGTCTCTCTCTGCTCTCTCTCTGGTCTCTCTCTTCGGTCTCTCTCTGGTCTCTATCTGGTCTCTCTCTGGTCTCTCTCTGGTCTCTCTCTGGTCTCTCTCTGGTCTCTCTCTTCAGTCTCTCTCTTCAGTCTCTCTCTTCAGTCTCTCTCTTCAGTCTCTCTCTTCAGTCTCTCTCTTCAGTCTCTCTCTGGTCTCTCTCTGGTCTCTCTTCAGTCTCTCTCTTCAGTCTCTCTCTGGTCTCTCTCTGGTCTCTTTCTTCTGATCTGAATATTGTTTGAAAATGAAGCTAATCAGAAAAGCAGAGCAAATATTTGTGGAATGAGGACGGTCTTGTTTGAAGCCGACAGAACAAACCAGTTCAGATCCCTGTGAGTCTCTGTGTCACTCTCTGGGCTGAGAGCTGATTGGCTGAGAGCTGATTGGCTGAGAGCTGATTGGCTGAGAGCTGATTGGCTGAGAGCTGATTGGCTGAGAGCTGATTGGCTGAGAGCTGATTGGCTGAGAAGGGGTGGTCCTCTCTGTGTCACTCTTCTGTCTGAAAAATCTGATCTAAAAATGTGACAGAGAAACACATGATGCAAAAACTGGACCAGGACCAGGGCCATGAGCTATAAAATAAAAAAACACATTTTGAAGAATGTGAAGAATGAAGATAAAATCCTTCAGTGTTTTTAACCTGGATTTGAACATTGTCGGAGAAGAAGCCTGTTTCACATTTTCAGGAAGACTGTCCCAGATTTTAGCTGCATAAATCTGAAGCGCTGCCTTCTCATGTTTAGTCCTGACTATCTCTGTGTGAAGATCTCATGGTCGACTCTGCGTCAGTGTTCAGTCGGATATCGTTACCTTGACAACAGCGGTCAGTCTGTGCCGGGGTCTAAAGCCAGACTGGACCATATCAGATCAGATAAACTTTATTATAAGATTATTCGTTGATTATAGGTTCTTTCTGTTAAGACTAATGTATTATCATAGAAAGGGAGAAATGCGGGTACCCCAGCTTTAAGAGACATAATTAATACTTATAATCAGTTGTAAAATGTCCCCCTCTGACCTCTGACCTCTCCTTGGCCAAACCTGCATGCAAAAGGCAGATCCTCAGACCTCTGAAGCTAAGAAGGGAAGGGCCTGGTTAGCACTTCAATGGGAGACATCTGAGATCACCAGGTGCCACAGTGGGGCAGCTGCCCCTGTAAAATGCCAAACGGTTGTTGTGTCCTTAAGCAAGACACCTCACCCACATGAGAATGAGTCTGGTGTGTGTGTGAATGGTAGACAAGAAAGTGCTATATAAAACTGTTGCACCTCTTCTGACCTCTGACCTCTGTCTGTGCAGGGAAGGAGGAGCCGAGCACCTACACCTGCACCACGTGTAAGCAGCCGTACGGCAGCGCCTGGTTCCTGCTGCAGCACGCGCAGCTCGCTCACGGCTTCCGCATATGTCTGGACTCGGAGCTGTGCAGCCCGCTGACGCCGCGCACGGGCGCCGCTGCGCTGCGAGGTGGCGGCGCGGCGTGTGCCTCTCAACCGCCACTGCACGGTCTCCACCTGCCGCCGCACGCCAGCCCCTTCAACCTGCTGCGCATTCCCGGCTCGGGCTCCGGAGGGCGGGAGAGTGCAGGTCAGACGCAGAGGTTTCCGCCGACTCCTCCTCTGTTTAGCCCGCACCAGCTGAACCCACACCACGACCGCAACCACAACCAGGAGCATGACCCTCACCACCTGGACCGGAACCTGGACCCACATCACCTGAACCCAGAGGAGATGGCCCTGGCGGCTCACCATCCCAGTGCCTTTGATCGTGTGCTGAGGCTGAACCCGCCGCACCCCCTTGATGCGCCTCCTTCCATGGATTTCTCACGTCGTCTTAGAGAACTGGCTGGAAACACCTCGTCGCCGCCCCTGTCCCCGCGCCGCCCCAGCCCCATGCAGCGCCTGCTCCAGCCGTTCCAGACCTCAGGAAGCAACGGCAGCATCAGCAGCGCAGGGAAAGCCACGTATCTGTCTACACCACCGCCGAACGCAGCCTCAACGCAGTCTCCGGTGAGAGCGCAGCAAACAACCCCCACCTCCTCCGCGCCTGTGCTCCCGGCCTCCGGAGACAGCAACGCACTCAACGCCAAAACCAAGTGCTGCGAGTTCTGCGGGAAGTCGTTCAAGTTCCAGAGCAACCTGATCGTGCACCGACGCAGCCACACGGGCGAGAAGCCGTACAAGTGCCACCTGTGCGACCACGCCTGCACCCAGGCCAGCAAGCTCAAGCGCCACATGAAGACGCACCTTCACAAGGCGTCTTCTCCAAACGCCACCAAGTCTGAGGACGGTCTCTCTGCGGCCTCATCTCCTGAGCCGGGCACCAGCGAGCGAACGGCCAGCAACGCACTCAAGTCTGTGGTGGCCAAACTGAAGCGCGAGAATGGCCGCCTGCTTCGGGAAAACGGTGAAGAGGAGGAGGAGGAGGAAGAGGAGGAGGAGGAGGAAGAAGAGGAGGAAGAGGAGGAGGAGGAGGAAGAGGAGGAGGAAGAAATGGAAGTGATGCAAAACGGCGTGGAGCATCGGCGCGACAGCTTCCACTTCAGCCTGAACCTGGATGACAGAACAGACAATAGCACTCTGCTCGGCCCGCGGCACCTGGAGGACAACGCTCTGCTCGGCCCGCGGCACCTGGAGGACAGCGCTCTGCTCGGCCAGCGGCACCTGGAGGACAGCGCCCTGCTCGGCCAGCGGCACCTGGAGGACAACGGTCTGCTCGGCCCGCGGCACCTGGAGGACGCAGCCCTGCCGCGGTCACTGCCGGAGGTGATGCAGGGGATGGGGCTGGCCGCAAGCATGCACCACTTCAGTGAAGCTCTGAGCGCACACAAACGCAACGCGGCGGCACAGGAGAACCACGTGAACCACCACTCAAGCCGCGGCGCCCGGGAGGACGCAGAGTCTGTGCTGGAGCTCGAGCGCACTGAGGAGATTCCAGCTGTGAACGGTCGTCTGGCGTCTCCCAATGAATCAGCTGCGATCGGACTGAGCAAAAAACTGCTGTTGGGCAGCCCCAGCCCGCTCAGCCCGTTCACCAAACGCATCAAACTGGAGAAAGAGTTTGACCTTCCCACGCCGACGATTCCCAACACGGAAAACGTATACTCCCAGTGGCTGGCGGGATACGCAGCGTCCCGACAACTCAAAGACCCTTTTCTAAACTTCGGGGACTCGAGACAATCGCCCTTCGCCTCATCGTCTGAGCACTCGTCAGAGAACGGCAGCTTGCGCTTCTCGACGCCGCCAGGCGAGCTCGACGGCAGGAGCGGCACGGGGAGTGGGGGCAGCACTCCGCACCTGGGGGGTCCCGGCCGCCCCAGCTCCAAGGACGGGCGTCGCAGTGACACGTGTGAGTACTGCGGCAAGGTGTTCAAGAACTGCAGCAATCTGACAGTGCACCGGCGCAGCCACACGGGCGAGCGGCCGTACAAGTGTGACTTGTGCAGCTACGCCTGCGCACAGAGCTCCAAACTCACGCGCCACATGAAGACGCACGGGCAGGTGGGCAAGGACGTGTACAAGTGCGAGATCTGCCAGATGCCCTTCAGCGTCTACAGCACCTTGGAGAAACACATGAAGAAGTGGCACAGCGACCGGCCGCTCAGCACCGAGATCAAGTCGGAGTAAAAGCTGAACTGGAATTTATGAACTGTTACTGCGAGAAGAACGTCTGTGCGTTCAACGGCCGTGGATCCACAACAAGCTTTGAGTGATTTTGATGTTGACCTCATTAGAGTTATTAGAGTAAATGCTACTGTGGCTAGCGCCAGTAACAATCGGTTACGGGGCTAAAGGAATTCAATTTTACATAAATAATTTTTTTATTTAATTTGAAGTCAAAAGGAGCCAGAGAGAGTTGGAGCAAAACTTCACTCTTTTCTATTGGGCTTCTTTGAGCTAGCAGGTTAGCGTTGACCTCTGTATACGGTCTACGTTAGCATTGTCTATCTATAAACTATCTATGACCCTTAACCATCAAAACTACTCAAACGTTGCCAATTCCCGTCCGTCCAGAGCTCAGGGACGGCCTCTTCTCGCAGCTCATTGGTCCCCTGTAGATTTGCCCCTTTTCTCAGCCCGCCTCCATCCCATGATGCATGATCCGTATCAGGGCAATACTCCTGCATCGGCGCGACAGTTACAAGCCTTTTTCTTGTGCAATAATGATTTACGCTGATGTACGATATTTTCTCTCTTTTGGGTTCCTTCTCCATTTTTAAGACTTAGTCAGCATGCATAGTATGTTTTTGCTAATCGAAAAAAAGAGTACTGTCCCTGGTGGGGGTTCGATGTTGAGTAAATGTGTTAAATACTTGTTGAGTTGATTTTGTTTGGGGTTTTTTACTGGGAAAAAGAGACAAGGGAGTCACATATCAATCAGAATGCACTTAAAGAAACGTCTGTGTGAGAGATTGGACACGGAACAGGGTGAAACTCAGAAGTCCCGCTGGCTAAAAGTCGAAGACGAGCCGGGTTATGTTACCAAAATAACCCACAATAAGTAAAATAAGTAGCAGCAGTAGGTTTTAAGGCTGTAAAACCCCTCACATACACTTCTGTGCGATTGCCAAGATAAAACTACAAAAGTGACTGAGAGTTAAACCCATTGAGCGCGTATTATGAGAGGACAGAGTGTGACATCACCATAGTTTTAGCCTAATGCAGAAATGGATGGTTTCAACATAAACTAGCTGGAGCCAATCTCCTTATATATTTGTTACGCTGCATTTTGTGTTGCTAAAAATGGTTACTGAGCTAGAGGAAAGAGACAAGAAAAAGATCAAAGAGAAAGCAGAGATAGATCAGAAAGAGACCCGAGAGAGACCCGAGACTAGCGAGAGACCAGTGCGGGACCGGGGAGAGATTAGCCAAACTTCACCATGAGCACTTCCCTAGTGGGCTTCAATGAGCTAGCAGGTTAGCAGTGTCCCATCTGTATACAGTCTATGGAAAAACTACAAAATCGACCACATCTGTCGAACCTGTCTTAAGTGCTGCTGCAGCTGTCAAAAGACTTTAAATGAAGGTAGCAGTCGTGTTATACAAGCGGTAATATAATGTTGAACTATACAGACTGTGTAGAAAGTGAGGCCGCGATAGAGCAAGGGACCACGACCGTTACGAGAGTGCCTTGACTACGGAGACTGCAGTAATATTATCAGGTTGAATGGAGCAGTGCTTTGTTTGCACCAAGGGTAAGGGTATGTTTCAATGAGAAAAATGCCAAACGCGCGGTGTACAGAGACAGAATGTCAACTATTGGTGCTTTGGAATGCTGCTTTTATCACAAGGACAGATACACACGGCTCAAAGGAAGGCCACATTCTACCGCCTCCAACCAAAACAGCTTCTGAATATTCACAGAGTCCGTGTGGAGACGGCTGGATGTAAGAAGGAAACACACGGAAAATACATTGTTGCAGTTGTGTTTTCTGCAGGTGCAAATGCAAAACAATATGTCCTAAAAAGAGATTAGTGATTGGGTTCACGAAGACAGAGACCAGAGAGAGACCAGAGAGAGAGAGAGAGAGAGACCAGAGAGAGAACAGAGAGAGACCAGAGAGAGAGAGAGAGAGAGACCAGAGAGAGAGAGAGACCAGAGAGAGACCAGAGAGAGACCAGAGAGAGAGAGAGAGAGAGACCAGAGAGAGACCAGAGAGAGACCAGAAAGAGAGAGAGAGAGAGACCAGAGAGAGAACAGAGAGAGACCAGAGAGAGAGAGAGAGAGAGAGACCAGAGAGAGACCAGAGAGAGACCAGAAAGAGAGAGAGAGAGAGACCAGAGAGAGAACAGAGAGAGACCAGAGAGAGAGAGAGAGAGAGACCAGAGAGAGACCAGAGAGAGAGAGACAAGAGAGAGACCAGAGAGAGACCAGAGAGAGAGAGAGACCAGAGAGAGACCAGAGAGAGAGAGACAAGAGAGAGACCAGAGAGAGACCAGAGACCAGAGAGAGACCAGAGAGAGAGAGAGACCAGAGATAGAGAGAGACCAGAGAGAGACCAGAGAGAGAGAGACAAGAGAGAGACCAGAGAGAGAGAGAGACCAGAGAGAGACCAGAGAGAGAGAGAGACCAGAGAGAGACCAGAGAGAGAGAGAGACAAGAGAGACAGACCAAGAGAGAGAGACCAGAGAGAGGCAAGAGAGAGACCAGAGAGACAGACCAAGAGAGAGAGAGCGAGAGAGAGACCAGAGAGACAGACAAAGAGAGAGAGAGACCAGACTAGACGAGAGAGAGAGAGAGACGGACAAGAGAGACTGACCAGTGAGAGACCAGGAACAGACCAAAGAGAGACCAGAGAGAAACCAGAGAGAGACCAGAGAGAGAGTAGATAGAGAGAGAGAGAGAGAGAGAGAGAGAGAGAGACCAGAGAGAGACCAGAGAGAGAGAGAGACCAGAGAGAGAGTAGATAGATAGAGGCGTTTACAATGTAGGTCAATAGGAGCATTATCACACACACCAAACTTGACATTCTGAATTTGTCGGCTTGAGGATCAGGATCTTTCCATTTTCTCTCTTGTAAACTCCTGGTGCACCCAAAGTTTGGAGTAAGCCTTTCACAAACTTTTTTTTGTGCATATCTCATGCTGTAGTATACAATCGTAGACAGACGCTCGTTACTATCGGCTTCACAGACAACAAGACTATCCAGCTTTGAGTTGTGGCCTGAAGCCTTAAAAAATCTGGTCTGAACTGAGGCCTAGACCAGGATTCAGGCTTCTGCTGTACTAAAGTCCACACGATTCCTTCCTAGGCCACTTCCACCGGCCCTACTTGTCCCTTCTCGGCTCTACTCTGGCCCTACTTGGCTCTAGCTAAGTAGGCCTGGGGTATAAATATCAGGGAATCTCTTAAAACAGGGTCGTCCTCATCGCGCAGATTGAACTAAGCGACTACACAGGCAGCCATTTTGTTTACAATGACTCGGCACTCCTTTTCCACGTTAGCTGCGCGGAGGATAGCACTTAGCATGGCTAGCATCGAGCGTGCTTTTGTTTACGTCCAGACGCGAAGTCTCTAAATAAGTCCTGGTTTACAAAGACGCAAATGTTTGGAATGAATCGTTTTGACACGATAAACTTGTGAAGGTTCAATTGTACCTTGTCAGTCGTAACCACGGCAACAGCAGTCTGCAACCCCGTCATGCTAGCAGTTTCCGAACGTTTTGCTATGGCCTGGAATAACCACATATTTATAAATGAGTTAATTAATCACAGAGTATTGACATTGGCAGAGCCTTAGCTTAGCGTTAGTGATGGGAGATAAAAGTATTGCTATGGTAAGTTTTGTGACATTAAACTAAAGTAAAAAACAACGTAATCAAAAATAACGCCTGTACTAAAATGCTTTGGCTTCGAGAAAAACTATTTCTACTGATACAACACATCAACACCAGTCCAACAAGCGACTAGTTTTGGATAATAACTGGGTGATAACTGGTAATAACTGGTAATAACTGGGTGATAACTGGTAATAACTGGTAATAACTGGGTGATAACTGGTAATAACTGGTAATAACTGGTAATAACTGGTAATAACTGGGTGATAACTGGTAATAACTGGTAATAACTGGTAATAACTGGGTAATAACTGGTAATAACTGGTAATAACTGGGTTGCAAACGCTCTTCAAAACTACTGTGACTCCACAAGGTTTACAGGTTTTCCAACTCATTTCACGTATGTTTTGTACAAACTGTTTTTTACTGAAAACATTGTTCTGTTTCCTCATTGGACGGTTTTAAGTTATTGCCAAAAAACCCCAGAAACTCAGAAATGTGTTTTTATTGTAATTATTTCTTGCTTGCGTTGGCCTCTGGGTTTCCACGTTTACATGTCGCATTCGGGGAAGGTAGAAGAGTATTTATGAAAGAATATACTGTATTTAAATCAATGTTTTTAAAGTTTTCACCTGCTGCTTAAAGCGCGAATGACCGGTTTTACATATTGTTTTTGTTCCTCATCTAAAACAGACCTTTTAGCTTGGAACATGCTAACTATGTGTTCATAACCCACAGTCATTACCAAATTGATGTATAATGGGAGAGATGACTGGAAAGAGCAACACTGCCCTCCCGCACAAGACATGGGGAGTAACATTACGACTTTAAGATTCTACGGCAGAGAAATTTGGAAAATGTACACACAAAAAATCAATGCCTACTTTTGACTAGTTGGAAAGTAGAGCGTTTAGGCAGAAGGGGCGGGGCGACATGTGTTTGTGCCTGATATCAGCAACTGCAGGTCTGTTTTGAGTGAGGAACAACGTTTGAACCCGGAGACTAGAGTGTAGTGTATGTAATCAGACAGGGGTACCCCAAGGCTCTGCTCTTGGACCCTTGTTATTTCAATACTTTGACGAGGTACGCGGTTGGTTAGAAACTAAAGCCAACATTATGAGTGATATTTTGTCTCTTGAACTGTGTAGAAATGCTGGTGAGAAAATCAAAGCTGCTTCTGATCTGGCAGGATAAAAAAATGTGAAATACGCGGACGGTTTTTGAGTCATAAAATGGCCGCCGCTCTGCTACATTCATCTCTCAACTCTCAGAAATCTTGGTTTTTCGTCCCACTTTGAGATAATCCTGACCTGAACCACAAACTTAACCTAATTACAGGCTTTTATCAAA